TAGTATTTTAAATAGCTTATGTAATATATATAAGTTAACTTAGGGAGAGCTTTTATGATGTGGGGTTTCTCTGTCCAAGAGTAAGGTACATCTTTCCATGTGATCAAGTCATCTTTTGGGGCTCTCAGGAGTGTCTTATGGTTTTATTTGTACATGTTTAAGATATTTCCTGTTAAGTTTGTGCTTAGTGTTCTTAAGAATTTTTATATTTTTCAAAGATTTGTAGTTGTAAATGAGATGTGTGTTTGGGAGAGGTTCGATTTTTGTCAGATTTTGAGATCAGTGTCCTACTCATTTTATAAAACAGATTTGGAAGATTTCTTTTAATTATTTCTGCAGTGGCTTAAGTAGCATTAGGGTCATTAGATCTTTAAAGGACTGGTAGCATTCCCCTGTGAAACTCTGTGCCCGGTGGTTTATGTTGTCTTGAGGAACTTTCTTCTGAGAGAGAGAGTGCGTGCGAGCAGGGGAGAGGGGCAGAGGGAAAGAAGAGAGAATCCCAAGCATGGAGCCTGATGTGGGGCTTGATCTCATGACTGAGATTGTGGACTGTGAGATCCTGACCTGACCTGAAATCGAGAGTTGGACACTCAACTGACTGAGCCACCCAGGTGTCCCTGTTTTGAGGAACTCTTATGAGGTTATTTCTTCTGTGATGATTGGTCTGTTTACATTTCTGTTGGGACTGGGGTCAGTTTGAGTAAGTCATATTTTCCTTAAAGGTTACTCTTCTAGGCTTTCAAATTGATATGCAAAGAATCATAAAACCGTCTTGATTTATAAAATTAACTTTTGCAGTGATTTCAAATTTATAATTAAGAAATCTTGGACTGAGAAAGGAAGACTTGGGACTTTTGCTGGCATACTGAATATTTTGCATAGTAATGACTACATCTAATGAAACTATTTTAACTGGTTAGCTGTTTTCTCCTCCTTCCCCTCCTCTTGACAAATGTTTATTCCCCAGGATGTGCTTATCTCATATATACTCTTCTCTAAGATTTTTTTTTTACATGTTTATTTATTTATTGTGTTTGAGAGAGAGAGAGAATATCCCAAGCAGGCTCCACACTGTCAGTGCAGGGCCCAACGCGGGGCTCGAACCCATAAACTGTGAGATCATGACCCGAGCCAAAATCAAGAGTTGGGACGCTTAACTGAGTGGGTCACCCAAGTGCCCCAAGTACGATTTTACATAGCACAGAATCAAGGTCCTGTAACCTCTTCTGGAAGAGAGATACACTCTGCATAATTTTTAATTACACAAACCAGTATTTGTTAATTTTTAATACTAGACACTGGGCCAAACAGAATGGGTTTGAAGAGACAGAAATGATCCCTGTCCCCTGAGGGGGTTGCTCACGGCGAGTATAGTAGCACTTAGGCTCTAGGCACGTTGTTTATTGCCACAGCTCCAGCTCATGTATTTGGAGAGGATTCTTCTGTCGTTAACCGTACCTCCCCCAAATGCGAGTGTTGGCCTTGCGTTTTCCGGGCACCACACGCAGTCATTCCGTGTTCCTCTCTGTAGTAGTGTGATGCCAGCGATCGTTCAGCCACACCAGAACCTCAGATCCGTCGGTCATTCCCGTTGGCATGTTGCATGTCCCTGTCCCCAGTCTGCTGCTTTTGTACCTCCCTGGTAAAACCCTGACTCTGCTCACAAGGCACCTGTCTCAGCCTCTACCAGGCCATGACTGCCTGGTCTCACTGGAAATTCATGTGCACAGCTGGTTAGCCTTTTGTTCATGTAACTTTTGGAAATGTATTATGTTGACATCTAACTGCTGAAGTTTTGGCTTTGTTAACTGTCCAAGTTTATGATTGAAAGAATTTGTTCACTAGCTGTTTTCTATTAACTACCTTTAAATGTTTGCTTTGGTCCTCCTTTTAAAGGCTTTCAGCCTCAGATATTGAAGCCATGGGTGATTGCCGATAGAAGGAAGAACAGATAGCACACTTTATTGTGTAGATGCTGGATTCATTATATGTTAGTGTGGATTAGATTAAAATTTCAGCTTTTGGGTTTCGTTTGGATGTTTTAACTTCTTAAGCAGTTAAGAACTGGTCATCTTATTAAATAACAGGTATCTGACTGCTTTGTACTTTCTTCATATATTTTTTTAGAGTTTTATTTATTTTGAGAGAGAGAAAGCAGGGGAGGGGCAGAGAAAGAGGGAGAGAGAATCCCAAGCAGGGCCCAAACTCATGAATGGTGAGATCATGACCTGAGCTGAAATCAAGAGTTGGACACTTAATTGACTGAGCCATCCAGGCGCCCCATACTTTCTTCATATTTGAGTGCTAACTTCTTGACCTGTCTAAAAACTGAGAGTGTCTCTGTTGCTTCTGAAAGACTGTTATGGTTAATTATATAAAATAAATGACCAGGGAGCCTGGGTGGCTCAGTTGGCTAAGCGTCTGACTTCAGTTAAGGTCATGATCTCGCGGTTTATGGGTTCGAGCCCCACATCGGGCTCTGTGCTGACCGCTTGGGGCCTGGAGCCTACTTTGGACATGTGTCTCCCTCTCTCTCTGCCCCTCCCTTGCTCGCACTCTGTCTCGCAAACATTAATAAACATTAAAAAAAATTTTTTTAATAAAAAAATAAATGACCTGATTTTATAAGTTTCTCTCATTTTTATAGGTTCCTTAGTGTAAGAATTGACCAAGGAAAAAATTGCTCTCTAAAGAATTACCATAAGGTAGCTTGAGGAAAATAATATCTACCTGATCAAACTGTTGAGAGTTAATACATTCTGCAGTTCAGGAAGCAAGACCTCGATGTTTGAGCTGTTGTGTTGAGGATTGGGAGGGGTATTCTGGGAAAAATTTTGAACGGAGTTGACCAAATCCTATGGGTGAGGTCTTGAGGAGAAAACTTTTTCATTTTGCCCACAGGTTGCGGCAGCCAAGAGGGGACTTAAGATCATGCAGTAGACAAAGTGGAAAGTAGTCTCCTGTTTATTTATTTAATAAATAAATTTTTTATTTAATTTGTGAAATTGGACACTGAGAGCCTGTCGTTTTTCTTTCTTTACCTCTTCTAATAATAACTATGCCTGTTCTGGGTAGTTTCATACTGCTGAAATAAGGCAGTCATGATCTCTGTGCATAGTTTTAAGGTATTGCTTCGCTCAAACATGATAGCAATACATTTGTTTATAAATTCTCAGGATTTTGCAAATATACTGATAACTGTATTACAGTAATCGATTCATTAAACTCTATGAATACTTATTAAATGTTTGCTGCATGCCAGGCGTTGTTGTAAGCTCGGGATACTGCAGGAAATGAACAGATAAAAGCTTTTGCCCTACTGAAGCTTACCTTCTAGCAGCAGGCATGGACAGTAAATAATACGTAATTATGTAGTGTGTAAGAAGGCGGAAGTTGCAAGGAGCAGGGAAGATCAGAAGTGCTAGTATTTGGCGATTGAGTTGCAGTTTTAAATACGGTAAAATCTAGAGACTTACTGAGAAGGTGATATTTGAGCAAAGATTCAACAGAGGTGAAGTCTGTTGAGGATGAAAATTATTCTTTTGAAAAAAAATTTTAATGTTGGTTTATTTTTGAGAGAGAGGGAGAGTGCAAGTGGGGCAGGGGCAGAGACAGAGGGAGACAGAGGACCCAAAGCGCGCTCTGCACTGACAGCAGAGAGCCCAACATGGGGCTCGAACCCACGCACCGCAAGATCACGACCTGAGCCGAAGTCAGACACTCAGCTGACTGAATCACCCAGGCGCCCAGGGATGACCAGCATTCTAGACAGAGGGAAGGACCAATGCATAATCTGTCAGTGGGAGTATGATTGACACGTTTGGTGACCCGGAAGGAGACCTGTGCCTAGAATGAAATGAACGAGGAGGGAAGTAAGGAGAGGTATGGTCCGAGAGGTGATTGCAGAGGAGGTAGGGACTTGTGGGTCATTGTAAGGAACATGTGGTCACGTCTACCATTCATATTATGTATTAGACCTAATGAGGAGGAGGAAAAAGTTAACATTGTTGAATTTGTGCTCTATTCCTTCATTCTGTAGTATCATTCAGCAGCTGCTACGTGCCATTGCTTGTGCTAAGTGAAGGAAATACAGTGAACAAATGAAACAAAAGCTAGCTACAGTCTCTGGTTCTCTCCATCCACTGCAAATCACTGTTTTGTGTGTTAATCACTGTACCTGATACTTTACCTATCTTATGTAATTCTAAGTATTTTATTTTATTCTAAGAATCAGGTAAGGTAGATTGTAGTATTAACTTGAATACAGTTGATGAAAAGAAGGCTAAGAAAATTTGGTGATTTGTTCAAGTTGCATAGCCAGTATGGGACAGAATGGGACGAGAACTTAATCTTGTCTTTTCATTACACCATCGGTTCCCACATCTGGCTGTGCATCAGAGTTCACCAGGAAGCTTCTTGTCAAAGCTATAGATTAAAGCTTCTGCTTTCAGTAATAAGTTGAACTGGAACTGTTGAATCTAGTATAGGCATTGGGGCAGGTGCAATCTTTGGGAATAGAACTGTTTTCTTCAGGTTGCTTGTTTTGAATAACAGATTTTAAGAGCCTTAGGTTAAAAGAGTCCTATAATTTTATGGTGCAAAGGGACTTGACTTTAGATAGACTGTCATGATACACGAGGTACTTGCATTTTCCTCATGAAAAGCCAGAACCTGAAAAAAATTACCACACTGAAAGCAATCCAGAGCAAAGGTAAAATATCCTTTAACATGGGCAAATCAACAAGTAGCTGTTTTACTGCTATTGGTTTTCCAAGCACTGACACATTGGCCTGTGGTTTTAATTGTCGAATCCTTCTAGTTTTCATTCAGCGCCATCCATGTATCTTCTCACATTTGAGTCTTTGCTGACGGTATGCACAGGAGTCCTAAGTAAATAGTTGAGAAGTTCTACTTGGTTATTTAGAAGACAGTGGCTGTGAACTTGGTAGATGATTCACAAATGTCCCGAAGGGTCTAACATAGCCGCTCTTCTCTTTCAGGAGATTGAAGATGACCCTTCAGCGATGTTAGGTCTATAATGGGAAGTGTCACAGCTCGATATTTCTGTTACGGATGCCTTTTCACATCTGCGACCTGGACGGTTTTGCTTTTTATTTATTTCAACTTCAGTGAAGTGACTCAGCCACTTAAGAATGTGCCCATCAAGGGGTCCGGGCCCCATGGCCCTTTTCCCAAAAAATTCTATCCCCGTTTCACTCGAGGCCCAAGTCGAGTGTTAGAGTCACAGTTCAAAGTAAACAGAATTGATGACTTGATAGATAATCATGTTGAAGATCCAGAAAAAGGCAACACGAAATTCTCTTCTGAATTGGGTAAGTGTGTTCGACTTCTAGTAGCATGTCAGAGTATTTAATCATTGGAGCTTTAAGCTCGGTTCTTCGAGTCATGTGTTGCAGAGGGGATTAGAAATGGGTCATTTTCACCCACCAATTTATTTTGTTAATGAACTCGCTGAGGTTCTAGGATTTTGCAGACTCAGTGGGGAGTTATATTCTAATTTACTGTTTCTGACTTCAATATTTTATGAGGACTTGGGAGAAAGTAATAAGGTCCAGAATAGAAAACAAAGAAAAGAAAGAAAGAAAAATTAAGTGACTGGAAAGAAAATGGAACCTATGGGGGAGGATTTTAATTGTTAGCATTATTTAATAAGGGAAAGAAATGGTTGAAAGGTAACTTGACTATATATAACATATTTTGAAAGGCAGAGTTAATTAAAACAGAACATAAACCATTGGGTTTAGAGGTAAGCTGAGATTACTTATATCTAATAAGATTTCTACTTATAAGAATTGTTAAGATGCTGGAGTATATTAAATATAGGAGTTTATAAAATCTTAGTATAAAAGGGAAACTTTTTTCTTCAGAAGTTATATTCTGTTCAATCTGGAAGTGAGAATCTACTGTATATGTCTTTTGCACACTGTAATTCTGGAGTCCTGGTTTTAGCAGTTTTATTTTAAGGGATAAATGAGCCATTTTGGTTACCGTTAAAACTTAACAAAAAAAGAACTTTAATCTTGTCCTTAGAAATCTCAAATAATACGTAATGTTAGGAGTAAAAGATTTTGAGAGATTGAAAGATCCACAATTAATAAAGGAAAGGTTAAAATAGATTCTTTTTTCATTTGATCATAGTTTCAAAGAAATAAAATCTGTTTCTAGGACTTAATGATTTTCTAATACATGCAGTTGAAAGTATTTAAAATGACAGGAGGAAATGGAAACTAATACCTCAATTTTCATAAAATAGACTTTCAGACCGCTGTATAGGCCTTTTATTTTTATTTTTATTTATTTTTTTTTTAATTTTTTTTTTCAACGTTTATTTATTTTTGGGACAGAGAGAGACAGAGCATGAACGGGCGAGGGGCAGAGAGAGAGGGAGACACAGAATCGGAAACAGGCTCCAGGCTCTGAGCCATCAGCCCAGAGCCCGACGCGGGGCTCGAACTCACGGACCGCGAGATCGTGACCTGGCTGAAGTCGGACGCTCAACCGACTGCGCCACCCAGGCGCCCCTGTATAGGCCTTTTAAAAGCATTAACAGGAAAGTTTCTAGCTTCTTTATGTATTTACCGTCATTTTGGTAAAACTTTGCAGGCATGATTTTTGATGAACGTGATCAGGAGTTGAGAGACTTGGGCTATCAGAAACACGCCTTCAACATGCTCATCAGTAACCGCTTGGGCTACCGCAGAGATGTGCCCGACACCAGGAACACCGCGTACGTTTGTCGTTTCTCGCCTCTCGCTAGTGTGTGCGCCTGCGTTTTAATGACGTGGTGCTCTTAGTGGCAGCGTCATAAGTCACGGGGACGGTGTTGATACTTTGCAGTTAGACTTCGGTATTCAGGACACTAGACCACTTAAGACAGATTTCCGCTCCGCCTGCCTTGAAGCCCCGTGGGCTGAGATTGTACTAACAGCCTTCCACGGCTTGCTGCTCCCTTAAAACTTAAAATCATAGGGAAAAGCAGGGAGGTACTAACCGCATATAATTAGGTAACCTTCTGAGCATAAGTTTGTTTTCGATATTTATTTATTGGATTTGTGGTAAAGGGATCAAAAATCAGTGAAGAATTTTATTCATCATCTCACTTTTCTGTCTTCATTATCTTTGTTGCTTCAAAGGCTTTTCATTCATATGGTTGGCCAGCCCATCCATAGACCTTTTTGAACACCTTTGTTTTCTAGACACTGTATTAGGTTTGGAAATAAGCAGAGTAAGGTGCAGTCCCTGGATCACAGGGCTTAGGATCTAGCAGGGGAGTTAGATAAGGAATCGAGTAATTGCGGTGGTAAATGAGGGCTGTGGTAGGAATTGGTGAAGTGGGGACCCCCAAACCAGAGCGGTCAGGGAAGGCCTCATTGAGATGAGCAGTGTACAAGGGACACCTCCCGTGCCTGGGGGACATCTCCCGTGCCTGTGAGACACCTCCCGTGCCTGGGGGACACCTCCCGTGCATGGGGGAAACCTCCCGTGAGTGGGGACACCTCCCGGGCCTGGGAGACACCTCCCGTGCGTGGGGGACACCTCCCTTGCATGGCAGACAGATGGAGTTGGTACACTGCTTGGAAAGGCACTGACAGCAGTCACTGTGGCTGTAGCAGAAGAACACCAGGAGGCCGGGGGTAGCCAGGGCCCAGACGCGAGAAGGCTTGTATGCCGCACGAAAGGACAGGGAATTCTAGATTTTATTCTGTAAGCTGGTGGTTTTTTATGATTGTTGCTTAAAGCCACCCAACCCTTTTTATCACATAGTTGCTCGATAGAAGCTTTTCTGTTATCCTGATTTATGTCCTAGTTTACTCAAGTGTTTTTCTAAAGTTGGGCAAAAAATAGTTTTCAGATACAAAGTTTTATATTATTTTCTTTTGAATGTTTATCGTGGAGAAGCTGATCATTAGCTTATGAGTGCTGCATTAAAAACCTATAGTGATTTCATACCGTTTTTATGTAAACTCTGTACCAAAAAAGAAAAAAAAATCATTTTTTAAATATTGACCTAAAAATAAGCGGAGTAGCAGGTATTGGAGGGAGGAATTACTGAAATGTAAAACTCTTGAGTAAGACACGTGATGTGTTCTTCAGTGGTTTTTAAAAAACTGTCATTACAATGTAGGAAAGAGGCTGAACAGGGGCAGTTAATGTTGAGTGAATAACGACCTAAAACATTTGAACCTTCTAAGATGTCGCCTTTTCTCACACATGCCTTTACAGATGTAAAGACAAGTCTTACCCCGCGGACCTGCCAGTCGCCAGTGTCGTTATCTGTTTCTACAATGAAGCCTTGTCTGCCTTGCTTCGTACGGTGCACAGCGTTCTAGACCGCACGCCAGCCCAGCTCCTTCATGAAATCATCCTTGTGGATGATGACAGTGACTTTGGTAAGGGCTGTTGCAGTTGATGCCATGGAATCTGGGCTGTTGATCGTGGCCGTGTGAGCACCAGCGTGAGCATCAGTGGAGCTGACTGTCAGGATAGGTGGTGGACAGGACCCTCGTCCGCAGAGTGGCAGTGGGGTCAGCAACAAATAATGTCTGTCGATTAGAGGAAACAGCATTGTCTTTGTGATCTTTTTCAGACTGTGCCATTTAAGTTTGGCCCTTGAAATTTTTCCCTTGGCTTATCTTTAAGCAAATTTTTTTTAATGTTTATTTACTTTTGAGAGAGAAAGAGAGAGAGAGAGAGAGAATGAGTGGGGGAGGGGAAGAGAGAGAGGGAGTCACAGAATCTAAAGCAGGCTCCAGATTTTGAGTTGTCAGCACAGAGCCTGATGCGGGGCTCGAATCACAAGCTGTGAGATCATGACCTGAGCTGAAGTCGGTTGTTTAACCGACTGAGCCACCCAGGTGCCCCCCTTGGCTTATCTTTTTAAAAAATTGTTCTATTTCAAAATATAGATTAGTAACAGCAAGTTACAAAGAGGTCTGTTACCTCTTCCCCCCATTCCTCCCATTTCCCCCATTGGTTATTTCTAACGTAACCCTGGCCCAACATCCAAACCAGGAATTTGTCCTTGGCACAGTGTGTATACGCAGTTCTGTGTCATTTTATCCCCTGTGTAGGTTCCTGGAGCCACCGCTGCGATCAAGATACAGACAACTCCCTGACCACAAAGATCTCCCTCGTGCTAGCTTTTAATATTCACACCACCGACCTCCTCGACCCACTCCCTCCCTGATCCCTGGCACCCCTAATCTCTGTGATTTTGTTTCTGTCTCTGTGATTTTGCCATTTCAAGAATTGTTACATAAATAGAATCGTGCAGTATGTGACCTTTCGAGATGGGCTTTTTTCACTCAGCATAATGCCTTGGCTTATATTTATCTAATAAGTCTGTTACACCGACCGTCCCCAGATAAAAGTGGATTGCTTTGTGATAGCTCTTAGATGATCCCTGAATGCCAGTGTTTTATGATTCAGTACGTATATTACACACTTTTCTTTTTTAAATTTCTTATTGAAGTATAATAAATTTTAGTGTTATGTTAGTTTTCGTTGAACTACATATTGATTAAACAGTTCTGTACATTACGCGGTGATCACCACAGAAAGTGCAGTCCCGTCGGTCACCGTACGATGTTATCACAATATTACTGCCTGTATTCCCTCTGCTGTACTTTTCATCTCTGTGACTTACTCATTTTTTTTTAATGTTTATTTATTTATTTTGAGAGAGAGTGAGCGTGTGCGTGCACACAAGTAGGGGAGGGACGGAGAGAGAGGGAAAGAATCCCAAGCCTACTCCGCGGTAACAGCACGGGGCTGGATCTCAAAACTGTGAGATCACGACCTGAGGCCAAATCAAGAGTCCACGCTTAACCGACTGAGCCCCCCAGGGGCCCCAGGATGGAAGGCTTTTTATTTACGCTACTCATTCGGCTCTCAGCTACCTTGAGAGAGGTTATGTCCTCGTTTTATAGAGGAGGAGATGTTAAGTAATTTGGTCAAGGTCCCATAGCCGTTACGTGGTAGAGTTGAAATTAAACCTCTAGTCCACGTGGCTCCAAACCTTCTGTTCATTACGGCAAGCTGCAGAGGTATATTAATAAATTGTATGCCAGTTACATATTTTTCATTACTCCAGTGTTTATTAAGCACCTCTTACCAACAGCAGAATTGGCCTACCAGTTAAATAATACAAAGCGAGGAAAGGTACACTGAGCCCAATGGGAGCAAACTACTTAAACCTTGGTAAAAAAATTCAAATAGCACAGAAGAAAATTTAGGAAGGTTAATAGAAAACAAAACTTAATTTCAAAAATGAATGATTAAAAAAGCAAGAACGTGAGTCTGGACCAAATAGGATGTTGGCTAAATACTCAATTGGAGAATTGATGGTGTCGATATTTTGTTTAAATTTGTGGTTTTTCAGTTTGTAGCTATTTTATCTAAAAGCAAAAATTCATGCTAACTTAACAATGGTTTATCTACTAACAATGGAAAGAATTACTTCTTAGATGATCTTTGAAGTTATGAAATTGAAAGGTGAATGAGCTAGAATGTATAAAAATTATTTAGTGCACTTGGAAGGTGCTAAATTAGTAAAAGGACATGTTTATTGTTGTTATATAATTTTTGGTAGGGGCGGTATAAGTTGTGTCGACTATTCTGAAATGGAATAATAGCTAATAAATTACGTTCAAACAAAAGACATTTGTATCTCATTTTTTGGTTTTGTTGTAAACCTGATTTATGTGTAGTCAGCTGAAAATTGATTCACTCCAGGTACTCATTTCAGACCTTCTTTATGCAAAGCATTGTGTTAGTTGCTGTGGAAATACAAGTAAGTCTACAAGGTAACTGTTCTGACTAGTGTTTCCATTCTTATCCTTCATGTTTTCCTTTCTCCTCCTCAGGAGATAAGCTGCCATGCTTTTTTAAAATAAAGCAGCAGAAGATTCTGTAATATTTACTTGATAATCTGTTGTTGCAAGTACCAGGTACAATTTTAGGGTAGCTATAAAAAACTGTCTTTGTACATGTCTCATGTGGTTTTACTATGGGCTCTTTATTTTCAGATGATTTGAAAGGAGAACTAGAAGAATATGTCCAAAAATACCTCCCTGGAAAAATTAAAGTAATAAGAAACACAAAGCGTGAGGGACTGATTCGAGGAAGGATGATCGGAGCGGCCCATGCTACAGGTACAGCTTCCTGCCACTCTTCTCGGTGGGTGTCGAGCGACAAGGGCTTTGTCCTTGGAGCCTCATTCTGCAGAGATGGGTTGAAAAGTGAGTATCTTAAATGGACACTGTCAGGAGAGACGAAGCTCGTTCGCTTTGGGAAGGGCCTCTTCATAACGCCAACCCCTGCTGTCCCCAGACGCAGACGCCACGGAGGGGGGCTCTGGAGTCCAAGCCGATCTGTTTTCTTGGGGGCCCCTACTGTGAATTACTGCTCTGCTCCTCACGTAGGTTTGGGTGTTGTTTAACTTCCATAGAGAAGAGTCCAAGAAAAATTGTAACTGAGCTTCTGTATTTTTTTTTAATACATTTAAATTATGTGTACCCAGACTGTTTGGTTTGAATTGTGCCAGTGCTTCCTTACTACGAATACATACCGCTGGTGATAGGGCATCATGGTTTTCCTTGGAGAAATGGGCTATAATATTAAAAACTGACTTACAGGGGCACCTGGCTGGCTCAGTCAGTAGAGCATACAACTCTTGATCTCCGGGGTTGTAAGTTCGAACTCCACATTGGGTATGGAGATTACTTAAGAATAAAATCTTTAAAGAATAAAAATAAATAAAAAGCAACTTACAAAACTCCAAAGGTACCTTCTTCAAAATTCCCTCTCAGTCCTTCTGATTCCATCAAAGATAAAGCCTCCATTTTACTGATATATCTTTAAAACCTTTCTAGCATATACTAATCTCCCCTTTTAAAGAGAAAGAACAGGTGTTAAGTTTCATCTTCACCAGAAAATCTGGTTAGTCCTCAGTTATACTGCATCGGTTATATTTTTGTGTGTGTGTGTGTGTGTGTAGGGTTACCTCTGTAAGGTTAGTGATCTTGATAAAATTTTCCCGTTAAAATTTATTTAAGTTAAATGAATCAGTTTTAAGATGTTATATATATAATATTGCAGGTAGTTGCATGGATAAGGCCAAAAAACAAACAAACAAAACCATGAAGGTAATTTGAGAATTCTGGAACTTTGGGGGCGGGGGGCATTCCCTCGTAGCGACATCTCCTACGTTCCCTGTATGCCTCTTGCATCAAGTTAAAAACGCAGGATAAAAATCTTTATGGTTTTTATTTTACTAACTAGAAGAAAGGCTACCCCATCAGCTCATGAGGGCCACTTCAGCCAACAAGGTTGGGGAATTGGAAAGACGGGAAGCAAACAGGAATGAGAATGTGGCAGCTGAGTGGTGACCTCAAGGGAGAAGGGAGCCCGTGTCACTGTCGTGGCAGTCACTGATAATTGCAGTCACGTTTCCGAGTCACCAGTGAAAATACGTTCTCTGTCCTCCGTTGACTGAGGCAAGGAAACGTACCCTACGTTTAGAGGTAGTTTGATTACAGTAATTGTAATAAAAACATCCACACACAAAGGGCCACTGTCCTTGCACCACACTCCTTACCTTTCTGTCCGGAGAACAGAATTGGTCCCGTGAGACTTGGAATCTCGTCACCGAGGAGAGTGAGTGTGTTTGCACGCGTTCCACACTCACAGCAGTGGCTTCAGGCCTGGCTCGCGCGACCAGCTCCTCCCCCCGCCTGCAGCAGAGGACGGGTGTAGCCGTGGGGCTGGAGGGCGGCCGGCTGTATTGCACGTCGCACGCTCCAAGCGGCCGCCTGTCGTTTGCCTCCTCAGGAGAGGTCCTGGTGTTCCTGGACAGCCACTGCGAGGTGAACGTGCTGTGGCTGCAGCCCCTGCTGGCCGCCATCCGGGAGGACCCGCGGACCGTCGTGTGCCCCGTCATTGACATCATCAGTGCGGACACGCTCGCCTACAGCTCGTCCCCCGTCGTGCGCGGAGGGTTCAACTGGGGGCTGCACTTCAAGTGGGACCTCGTGCCCCTTTCTGAGCTCGGGGGACCGGAAGGAGCCACCGCACCCATCAGGTGAGACTCCTTCTGCAGATTCGAAAACTCCTATCGGCGCTTCTTCCAAAGAGGAAAAAATATTTTACAGGTAATCCCTTCTTTGCAGGGAGCGGAAGCGTTACAAACTCGAGTGCTTCCCGAATTTCATACGTCGCGCCCGCTGCTAAGGGAAGATGGGTGGCTTAGGGTTTCCAACCTAGCAAGGCAGACGAGTAGGATCGGCAGTCCTGGGCGTAACCGTGTGGCACACTCGAGCGGCGCGCCCCGTTTGCACGTTGATTATCGCAGTTCCCTGTGTCGTCTACTTGCCTTCGGGTCTCTGCTCGTGTGTGTGGCGCTGGGAAGAGCGTTAGCCGTAGAAGCCGGTTCTGTAATTAGGATCTTTAGGGTGGATTCCTGCTGCACCGTCGCAGGTCGCAGCGTGTGAATTGTTTCCAGTTCCCCTTCATATTCTCAGTATTCCACATCTGCTTCTATGTTATTCCTTGTCTTCTGTTATAAATTTCTCGTGTAGACTTTAGAGGTTTGTCTGGGTTTCTGCTTTTTAATGTCTTTGGACCTACGGTTTGGGTTTTCTTCCTGTGGAAAAATGGCGTAGGTAAGAAGTACACACGCAAATAGGCGTACTGTGCACACGACTTAATGAATGGCTGTGATCTGAACGCCTGTGCCGTCTCCCGGGTCCACAGACAGCAGCCGGCTGCCCTCTGGACTCCTGTTCCGGTCCACAGCCCCTGCCCCTAGATGGGTCATCACCCTGACCTGGTCCCTGGTAATCATTTCCTCGCTTTCCTTTACTTTTCACCACGTCTGTGTGCGCCCCTGAACAGTACGGTGTAGTAATTTGCCTGTTCAGGGACTTCATATAAAATGAAGCCATTGGACTCATTTTGTCTTGCTTCTTGTGCTCAACATCGCTTGAAAAAATTCCTGTGTGGGGGCTCGTGGGTGGCTCAGTTGGTTGAGCATCCGACTTCGGCTCAGCTCATGATCTCGCGGTCTGTGGGTTCGAGCCCTGCATTGGGCTCTGTGCTGACAGCTCGGAACCTGGAGCCTGTTTCAGATTCTGCGTCTCCCTCTCTCTCTGCCCTTCCCCTGCTCATGCTCTGCCTCTCTCTCTGTCAAAAATAAACAAACGGGCCTGGTGCGGTCTTGTGGCAGAGTGTGGTCGTCTTGTCCCTCAGGCTTTGCATGACAATCTGGTCCAAGTCTTGCTGATTTCAGTGAGATCAGGGGTAGGTGCGACGCACCCTCCCCTCTGTCAGGAGCAGGGCTGCGTCTGGGGACGTCCCTCAGTGTTTCCGGTCTCTGCAACCTCACGTCCTGTGGTCAGAGGCACACGGTACACGGTAGTGGTCCCTCCGACTTGTCCTGTCCTTTCGGACTGTCCGTGCTGTTCTTTGGGAGAAGGTGAAGCTTGCGCAGAGCGAGACGACGGAGCCCCGGCTGCCGTGTGTCCTCAGTTTTGGTGCACTTGTCAGTTTTTGCCTGTTTCATCCTCTTTATCAGCATTGGTTTTCGTCTTTTTTTTTTTTAATACTTTAAAAAAGATTTTTTTTAATGTTTATTTAATTTTGATATAGAGAGAGACAGAGTATGAGTGGGGGAGGGACAGAGAGAGAGGGAGACACAGAATCCTAAGCAGGCTGCAGGCTCTCAGCTGCCAGCACAGAGCCCGACGTGGGGCTCGAACTCACGAACCGCCAGATCACGACCTGAGCCAAAGTGGGACGCTTCACCGACTGAGCCACCCAGGTGCATCCCCCCCCTTTTTAAATACTTCTCATCAAAGACGTGTATTCAGTAACAAAATAGTACACTTAGAATGAAGAGTGGCTGACGACCCTTTCCTCTCGCTTCCCGGTCCTTCTCCCCAGAGGCCAGTTCCTGTAACTATTTTTATTTTGGGTCTTGTGTTTCTTGCTTCTTTAACTCTAGACGATGGATGAACGTACTCCTGTCTTCACTGTCAGACTGACTTAGATCCTTTTCTGTGGGAAGAGCGAAGATTCCGCTCATTTACGTTCAGTGCCTTCTCTGTTGCCTGGCTGTGGAGTGTGGTTTTTGTTACTGTATTGCTTGGAGAAAGCTGTCACTTGCTCACTTTGAGAGCATCACCTGACACTCCTTCTTGTGCAGCGAGGACATCAGGGCCCTTTCTCCTTGTGCCACTTTCCCCCCGTTTCTTCCCCTTTCTAACGTGAGCTGTTGCACTTTTATGATACCAGGGTTGCAAACTGCTTAGGTTGGATGTTTAGATTTAAAATTGTCATCCCTTTTCCTTTTCTAATACATGTATTTAAGATGATAAACTTTCTTACAGGTTTGGCAAATTATGACGTATCATTTTTTATCATTCACTTTAAAATATTTTCATCATGAGGTCTTCTCTGCCCCATAGGTTATTTAGCACTACATTTATTATTTTCCAGACATATGTGGGTTTTGTAATTGTATATTCCTGGCTTAATTATACCGTGGTCAAAAAATATTCTGTATTTTAACTCTTTGAAAATTGATGAGATTTGCTTTATGGTTAAGTGCATGAGTAAATTTTGTAAATGTTTCTTGTGTGCCTGGAAAATGTTTTCTCTGGTTGTTAAAAATGGGATTCTGTATTAGTTTGGTCACGTTTATTGTAGTATTCAAATATTGCATACTTTGTTTAAAAAAATTTATGGAAGTGTAGCTGACGTATAGTATTATATTAGTTTCAGGTGCACAGCTTAGTAATTCAACAATCCTGTACATTACACAGTGCCCACTGTGATGAGGGTTGTTATACTTTTATTTTTTAATTTACACGTTATATCGGTTATTAAATGTGGTATATTATGGGGCGCCTGGGTAGCTCAGTCGGTTAAGCATCCAAGTCTTGATTTCAGCTCAGGTCATGGGTTTGAGCCCCACGTGGGGCTCTGTGCTGACAGTGTGGAGCCTGCTTGAGATTTTCTCTCCGTGTCTCTCTCTTTGCCCTTCTCCTGCTTGTGCTCTTTGTCTCTCTCAAAATAAATGAGTAAACTGAAAAAAAAATATATGGCATATTAAAGTTTCCCACTACAATTGTATATTTATTTCTCCTTGTAGTTCTTTATATGTTTTCTTCATATATTTTGAGCCTGTCTTAATGGATGTATGAACATTTAGGATTATTAAATCTTCTGGTAAATGAACCCCATTTGTTCCAGACTTTCAGAATAGTAAAACTTTTGCATTATAGTGTGACATTAATATGACTGTTGTAGCTTTGTTTTGATTAATATTTACATTGTGTGACTTCCCTTTTGTTGTCAGTCTTTCCGGGGTCTTATATTTAGATGTGTCCCTTGTAAGCAGCGTGCAGTTGCTTTTCCATATTATGATTTGTTGTTGAACCAGCATGAAAAACTTCCTTTAATTTAGTTGCTTGCATTCAATATTACTTGTATTTTGTGTTTAGGATTACAGTGCTACTATTTGCATTCTGGTTTTTTTGTTTTTTTTTTTTCCTGTTCTCTTTCTTTTGGTCTTGAGTTTGGATTTTTTATTATTCTGTTCCCAGCTGCCACCCTGTTATTAGATGTTATACATTCTTACATACCGTTCTTCTAGTGACTACCCCAGAGAGGATACCATACATCCTTGATTTATCAAAGTGTGACATAAATTGGTATTTCAAACAATGCAGGGATCTCAGAATATTCGTTCTCCAGTTTATACCCCTCAGGTTATATTGTTGAAGAGTGTGTGTGTGTATTTTAACTGTGTAAGATGTTTTTTATGTGACCATTATTCATTTAGGTTTGCCCATGTATTTCCCTTTTTATGTTACTCTTTATTCTGTCTCCATCTGCAAACTCCCACCTGGGATTATTTTCATTTTAAATGTACTTTCTTTGGTCAGACCTTCTGGTGATTACTCTTGTCTTCTTGTAAGAATGTGTTCATTCTACCGGTACTTGGAGGTGTAACTGTATGGGGTGCCCAGTTCTAGGTCGGTGGATAGATTGTTTTAGGACTTGGAAGGGGTTACTCAAGAACGTGTGGCCTCCGCTGTTTGTGGTGAGAAGCCAGCGGCAGTCTTAGTGTCAAAGTCTTAGTGACAAAGTCTTAGTGACAGAGGAATTTCTTCTCTTGGTCAGAAGCGTTTTCAGATATGCCTAAGTTTGGTTTCTTTTTTGACTGTGTCTATCCACCTGCCAAATTCTGCATTCTTTTACCCTTGAATGTATTGAGCAATTATTTTAAAGTCTCTGCCTGAGAATCACATTATTCGAAACCCCTACACAGGGGCACCTGGGTGGCTCAGTCGGTTGAGCGTCCAACTTCGGCTCAGGTCACGATCTCACGGTTTGTGGGTTCGAGCCTCATGTCAGGCTCTGTGCTGACAGCTCAGAACCTGGAGCCTGCTTCGCATTCTGTGTCTCCCTGTCTCTCTGACCCTCCCCCTTCATGTTCTGTCCTCTCTGTCTCAAAAATAAACATTAAAAAAAACTTTAAAAGAGAAAAAAAACCCTGAACATCTGTCTCTGATGTAGATTGTTTCTCTTGTTTTTCTTTGATGTGATTAATCTTCCTGATTGCCTGGTGGTTTGTTTGGTTGCTTATTTTTGTTTGGTGACAGACCTAGTCATGAAAAATTATGTAAATACACTCCTACCTGGGATGGTTTCCCCCCTGCAGAGAGATTTTGCTTCACTTCTGGCAGGCAGCTTGGGATGCTAGGATCCACCACCACCTTAACTCCGTTACCAGAAGTGACGCAGCTGGAAAGCGGGCAGGAGTCTCTCTGAGGGCCAGCCTCCTTCAGATTCTCTCATTCAGTTTCTCAGTCCTGACAGTATTGACATTTTGGGCCGGAGACTCCCGTGTGATGGGTGCTCTGTTGTGCGTTTTAACAACTCTGGCAGCATACCTGGTTTCAGCCCATCGGATGCCAGTAGAAATCCGCCCCTGACACACACACACACACACACGTCCCATCGTGACAGCTAAAAATGTCTCCGGAAACGTTTGGGGACAAATCGTCCTATTTGAGAGCTACTGGCCTAAGCCATTTGATCAGAGTTTGTCTGGTCTCCCCCGGCAGGCCCTGGAGTCCGGTTTTTATCACGGTGGCTCTGTGAGCCTGTCAGAAGGAATGAATTCATTTCAGGTGTATTTCTAATAACAGTGGTTATAATTTAAAAAGTACTTTTGTTGCCTAGAAAAGCAGCCTTCATTTGCCAGATATGTATATATCATTGGCAATCTAGAAAATTCAGTTATGTGGCCCAGCTCATTGCCTAATGTTACATAAAACACTTCATAATAGTTCATCTTGTTTTTGTTAGTGATGTTCCAAAGGCACACTGAATTTTTTAAGACAAAGACAGTAGTTAATTGAGTCTGTAGAATTGGTACAGAAATTATTTCCTTTTCTAGGTCACCGACAATGGCTGGAGGATTGTTTGCCATGAACAGACACTATTTCAATGAACTTGGACAGTATGACAGTGGCATGGATATCTGGGGAGGAGAAAATTTAGAAATATCATTTCGGGTAATTTTTTCATGTCTAGTTATTAACTGTGTGCAGTAGAATATAATTTTCATCTACAATCCCATATTTTCTGTAAATTCTCTTTGATTACCTTTGTTAACAAATTGTCCTTAATGAATGCTACATTATTGTAATTTGTGATCTGGAGAATATCCACTCAAGGTGTGGAAAGCTTTTAAGCAGCCTTATTTTATAAGAATTCAGAAGGGAAGGCTGTGATGAATGGGTATGATTTCAGATGTCTAAATGTGCATTTAATCTAGAGTTTTGTTGCCAGTTTATTAATCTTATTTGCTAACCTTATTTACTACCCTAATATATATATATACACACACACACACACACACACACACACACATATATATATATATACATGTATATATATATATATATATGTTTAGCGTGATCGGATTTCCCTGATTGGCTAAGACCATCCTGGTTCACCCCAGATCTCCCAGGAAAAGTACTAATAGCTCTGCATTCCACTTTCAGAAGTAGCTAGTGGGAGGCCTCATACATACAACTACCTGCAACCTGAGGAAGGAATTCATTTTTCATAATCAGTCCTCCTCTCCAACTGCTAAAGTTGGAGAGATGATGGTATAGTTGGGGTCTGGGGCTCAGGGAACTGGAGGAGGTGGGGTCAGGCAGTCTTTGCAAAGGACAGAACGAGGGCAAGGGCGAGCACACAGACTTCCAAACTTGCAGATGTCCCCAGCCCAGTCCCCACGGCAGGATCCCCATCCAGATAGTACGTGTGCGTGTGTCCTTTTGTCTTTCTGCAACGTATTGACCAGAAAGTTTTTAAAAGGCAGTTTTGGGGCGCCTGGGTGGCGCAGTAGGTTAAGCGTCCGACTTCAGCCAGGTCACGATCTCACGGTCCGTGAGTTCGAGCCCCGCGTCGGGCTCTGGGCTGATGGCTCAGGGCCTGGAGCCTGTTTCCGATTCTGTGTCTCCCTCTCTCTCTGCCCCTCCCCCGTTCATGCTCTGTCTCTCTCTGTCCCAAAAATAAATAAACGTTGAAAAAAAAAATAAAAGGCAGTTTTTCCTACATAATCTTTAGAATTTTAAAGATGAAAGGAATAACATATCATTAATTCAGTCTTCTTACTTTGGAGATAAACTAATGGAGTCCCACAAAAACTAAAATACCCAGATAATCAAGGGCAAAATTTAGACTAGAACTAAGATCTTTTGAATCTTAACCTGGAGTTATTCTGTATCTTTCATTATTTGTGTGTATATACATGTTATTAAAGTACCAGTAAATTTAAAGTAGGGGACCCGCCAACAAGCATTCTCTCCCTAAGTCCTGAGGATCAAGTTCCTTGATCTGTTAAAACAGCAAAGTATATGGTAAGTGTGATTTTAGACACACGGTAGTAAAAGAATATTACGTCATTTTAGAATTTAGTTTCTTCTTAAAGACGTTGTTTTTCAAGGTACTCTTTGACAGTTCTGTAAGACATCTTGCAAAGTTGCATGAACACCTGATAATTTCATGAAAATGCATACATTGATTTCATAGCAGTTGCAGGCAACTATTAATACATGTTTTGCCCCGACCAGATCTGGATGTGTGGAGGTAAACTCTTCATCATCCCGTGCTCTAGAGTCGGACACATTTTCCGAAAAAGGCGACCGTATGGCTCTCCTGAAGGCCAGGACACCATGACCCACAACTCCTTGCGGCTGGCACATGTCTGGTTGGATGAATACAAGGTGAGGTTATGTTGTTCGGTCGGAGGGGTCGGATCGGATGGGCGGCTGTGCGTCTGCGGGCGGCTCTGGTTACCTGCCTTTTCACTCCGGCGCATTTCTGTTGGGACAACCACGGGGCCTTCTCTCCCTACATTTCTTTTCTCTCTCATTTGCTGTTGTGACTCCTCTTTTAATTTTCCAAGTGACCACCCTGTAAAAGGAGATTCGGCCAACACCAGAAGAAGTGTTCTCTTCAGTGTCTTCGTTCCTCTCCTGTGACTCCTTCTCTTTGCCCCTTGGGGTTCGTGTGCCGGTCCTGCCACTTCCCCATTCGACTCTGCACATGCAGGATCGTACCTCCCACTTTCTCTTCCGCTGTGCACACCCTGTGATGATTATTTCCTTGGTCACGGATTTACTGAGGAATAATTCACAAACCATTTTATCACTCCCTAATCTCCCACAGCCCTAGACAACCACTAATCTACCCCCTGACTCTCTGGATGTGCCTGTTCTGGACACTTACTACAAATGGAACCCTACAGGACATGGCCTTTGTGGCCATCTTATTCAGCGTGGTGTTTTCCGGTTCATCCATACCGCGCCATGTGCCGGTACTTCATTCTTTGTAATCCAATAATACTCCCTGGCCGAAGACACCGCGTTTTATCCTTTCATGAGTTGTGAAAAGTGCTGCTGTGAATACTTGCATACAGTTGTTTGTAAACAGGCGTTTGAGCATCTGCTCCATATCAGGCTCCGTGTTAGGTTTGGGGGAGTCAGTGACGAAGGAGGGAATGCACAGTGACGACACTGTGCATTTAGGGTATGGAGGTACGTGCTGTGGGGGTATGAGAACCAAGCAGATCACCGCTTGGGACCGGAAGTGCGGGCTCCTGGTCACGCCTCTATCACACCGCGTGTCTCCTCCCTTGTCCCTCTTCTAGACTCTGAGCTCCCTCTCCATGGTCACCAGCTTGGAGTCCTACTGTCTCCTGGCGGCCCTCAGAGCCACCTAGATCCCGGCTGCCCTCCTAGGAGGACGCTGGGCCGAACCTGTTTTCACAGATTAATACGGGACTTGCCCCTTTCACCGTGTCGGCGTTGCGCCGATGGTGCAGGAACGGTGGAGTGGTGCAAAAAATTCCACTAAATCTTGGCAAGCTCGGAGTGCCGAGACGTGGTGGACAGAAGCACTGCACACCGAAGCACTGTGCTTGTGGCAAGGAAAAATGTGTGCAGCTGTTCGACTTGTGAGCTGGACTGATCACTTTTACATAAATGGAGAAAAGAGTGACTCACAAACCATGGTTATTTCTGTTTGGATGTTTGGCAGATAGTCTCAAAAATGAACCAACTGACTCTCTCACTTCGACAGACAGCATTTGTTGCCAATGATAAAATTCAAGCTTTCAGGTGAAAAATTACAGTTTTGGAAAACTTGTATCCACCCCTATGAGCTTACTTGCTTCCGGTACTTAAACGCTTTTCTGAGGAGATTAGGAATATTTATGAATATAATTCTTAATACTGAAATTTGTCATTATTTGAAAGAACTTCACAACCCAGCGGAAGCAGATCTTGGATGGGTAAAAAGATCCAGTCACAGAGCAAGACAGCAGATTTTAACCCAACAGTAGGAAAGCTCAATGATACAATTTAAAGGTTAGCCACGATGTGGAATGTGAAGGGCTAGAGTTCTGGTATAATATCAGAAAAGAATAGCCATAATTCTCTGAAAATGCTATTAAAATACTCCTTCCATCTCAAACTATATGTTTTCACATGCTCATATTTTTAAAAATGTATTTAACCAGACAACATATAATAACAGGTTGAATGCAGAATTGAGAATTCAGCTGACTTCTTTCTAACCAGACATTAAAAAGATTTGCAAAACTGTAAAGCAGTGTAACTGTTCTCACTAAATTTCTTGTTCAAAGCATGTTTATGTTCATAGGTAATGAATTATTTTTAAAGAGTTGACAAATGTTTTCACGTCTCTCCTGGTAAACACGAGCAGATGTAACTCACACGAACCTCCCCAGAGTCTCTGGTAATCGTTAAGATCATAGTCCTGACAGAGTCGGAGAACTGCCCCCTCATGTGCAGCTTCCTTGATTCTGGGATCACATTTTTACATGTGTTGCCGATTCTGAGGTTCGGACGTTTCCTAGAGTTTAAAATGTCTTACCATCAACGACGGACCTAATTGATAACTTCATGTTGACATCTTCTGGCAACGTGAAGAAAACGCCAGCGTGAAAAATACTTCAGCTCTTTAAGACTCAGGTACAATTGATACTACTTAATTTTAAAAAGGCCATTCCCTTATTTTTCGTTTTTCTTTTTAAAATTCAGGAGCAGTATTTTTCCTTAAGACCTGACCTGAGGACCAAAAGTTACGGAAACATCAGTGAGCGTGTTGAACTGAGGAGGAAGTTGGGCTGTAAATCATTTAAGTGGTATTTGGATAATATTTACCCAGAGATGCAGATATCTGGGCCCAATGCCAAACCCCAACAACCCATTTTTATCAACAGAGGGCCAAAACGTCCCAAAGTCCTTCAGCGTGGAAGGGTAAGGAAGTAATCTTATCAGCGTTCTGTTCAAAGTTGTATGATAAGACCAATGACATTTTAGACTGAAAGTATCATTTTAGTGATAGACGTTAGCTTGCTTCCGTTGCATTCTTTCTGTGGGAGCTTCCTCTGCTCGGAGTGAGACCTTAGGAATGTTCCTGTCTTCACTGTTACCATTAACACCCTTCACCTGCCAGCATTCAGGAGCACACGATTCTCAAAGTGATAGGCTAGCTGCCGAGAGGGGGGACGTCAGTGTGACTATGCGATATGCAAATAAAAGCCACAGGAGAGCGTAAAGCTCCCTGGGCAGAGTCCGGTCCCAAAAGAAAAGAAAAGGAGAAATGGGGTCACACTCTGCTCTGTGGCCGCAGCTCGGGAACTGACTCAGGAGAGCAAGTGAGAGATGGGGCGCGTCCCTCTAGTTCACACCCAGTGTGTAAGGACCCATGTGCTGCACAGGAACACCCCTGAGCGGCCACGTTTCTTTTGAAGTTCTTTTTCCTTCCTCCCTTTTTTGAGAGAGAGAGACCACAAGCAGGGAAGGGCCAGAGAGGGAGAGTGGGAGACCCAGAATCCGAAGCGGGCTCCAGGCTCCGAGCTGTTAGCACAGAGCCCGACGCGGGGCTTGAACTCATGAACTGTGAGATTACGACCTGAGCCGAAGTCAGATCTTAACTGACTGAGCCACCCAGGCGCCCCCGTTCTCTTTTATTTCTTAAGGAATTTCTTCACAGTTTTACATCACTTTTAAAGTTTAGGGGTCTAGCCGTAAAGTCATACCTTTTTCCTGAATCATTTCATAGAATTTGCTTTCTGAAAGTGTAGCTACTCTGTTGCACAGTTTTCTCTTCTTTTGTGTTCAGAAGAAGGCACTTGTCAGGATCTTTCGTGATGCTGAGTGTTCCTCAGTGGCTAAGCCTAGAGCTTTCCCCTTGTCCTCTTTATGAAAACAAAACCACCTTTTGTTTTTAAAGTAAAAACACAGCGTATGCCCATGTAGTTGTAGCCCTTTACCCAAACTGCATACTCTTTGCTGCTTTTCTGGGTCTCCCCTGTGCTGTTCCCGATCTGTGTCTCCCTCCAGTTTAGCCTGTATATTTCGTTCAGTTACGTGCTGTCTGGTCGGTACCTTTAGTCTTATTTCCTTGATTTCATTTGAAGGTTCTTGAGGGCAGAGAGGTTTTAATTTCCTTCCTCCCCTAGAATAGATTAGTAAACCTATATTTTTAGAATTTCTACTTGGCATTGCTTGCATCTACTGTTAAAACTGCCTTTAACCTTAAAGTCTACCGTGACACCCTTATGTACTGAAGCTAGAATTAAGGAATAAAAAAATGCTTATTTTCTTAGGACCTTTGAAATTCATACCTTTGGAGTAATCAATTCGCGTTTCATCTAAAACCTCCTTATCTAGCATAAGGCATCTTCTGACAAGAGCGATCTCTCCTTTTACAGCTCTATCACCTCCAGACCAACAAGTGTCTGGTGGCCCAGGGCCGCCCGAGTCAGAAAGGAGGCCTGGTGGTGCTTAAAGCGTGTGACTACAGTGACCCCGGTCAGGTGAGCGATGGCTCTGGGCTCAGCCAGTCCTTGAAAGGTGTCCTTCCCAGAAGGGAACTTGCCCGAGGTCACGCCTGAGGAGGGAGGGGTGGACATGAAGATTTTAATCTGACTTTTCTTAAATGAGATGGTTGGAGTTGGGAATGACTTTAGAGATCACGTAATGTAACTATTTTTGTCTCCTTTGTACATTTTTCCTACCCTCGGTCACCGTCGGGAACGTTATTCGTACGTTGCAGTTACACAGGATAAACAGAAGTGTGTGAAGGTCGGAAGGGGCCGAGGCAGCGCGCCTGCCTTCTGGGCGAGGACATGAGCTCTGCGGTGGATGGGTCTGTAGTGTTGTCTCTGAAATCCAATCTCCCTGCGTTTTAGTAGTGCCTCAGGGACACCACAACAGAGTGTCCTTTGTGTCATTCGCATGATCTGTTTGTGTGCCCTTTCAGTGGTACTGAAGTGGACCTAAAAATAAGCAGAAGACTTATGTCAGTTTGGAACGGTCGTTTCAAGCTGTTCTGGATTTGGTAACAGGCTAATATAGTCTTAGGGTCAGTCTCAAGACTGCCGCACTCAAGATGGGTCACAGGGAAGTGACTTTCTTGTCCACTTGAGTGGCAGGGATGGCGTCACTCAAGACCAAAAGGATATCGGGCTTTTTAGATAGCATGTGCCCTTTGAAAGTTCACACAAGACCTTTCGTTTCTAGGAGAGCTCATGTACACTCTCCCAAGATGTCATACACACCGGAAAACGGGATTTAAAAGGGGTTTTATGCTGTGTGTGGGTATGAGAGGCATCAGGGTTGTGGACACTGAAGGCTTTAATTACAGTGATGCTTCGGGGGGTTAGGTCACAGCAGGATGACATCACAGATTTGTTCCAGAAAACGTACTATATTTTGATCACACAGATTTGTACTAATGCTGTATCCGGGAGCCACATGTAGCTCTTTAATTAAAATGAAGTAAAATTAGGTCACACCAGCCACATGTGGCTCCCATGTTGGACGACACAGATTATAAAACATCAGCATCGTTGCAGAAAGTTGCACTTATAGAATGCTTCGTGTTAATAGAGAGCACACATACATTTTGGGCTTAGAGGTAGGAACACTGAGTACAACTATTCAGAGAAGAAAATCTATTCCTTTTGGACTTAGTGATGGTGCAGGTTGGAGAATAACTTACTCATCGCACTTACCCAGTCCAGCCAATCTTTAGGCCTTTGTTCCTGAAAATAACGTGAGAGACCATAAAGAAGACGATCCTGAAGGAAACCCTGCTTCCGGGCCCTCAGGTGAAATCGTCACCTCAGTCCAAATGGCATCATGGTCTGGGATCAGAGTGCCATTTTCCACGGGGCAACGAGACGGACCGACTCCTGCGCGCGGGCACAGCCCAGTAGAGGCCTGTCTCTGTCCGCAGGCGGCCCCGCTGCGGGCTCGCGGGGCTCCTCCTGTGCTCATGCTGTCCAGGAAGGAAGGCCGCCGTGTAACTGTGAAATCCTAGAATTGGAAAAGGTCTGCCGTCTTCAGTTAATTTGGCCAGTTAACAAAACGGAACCACTGTTTCTTCCTGGGATTGAACTTCCTTCTCCCGTGTCCGTTCGCACATTCCATTTTCAGATAGCTGTGCTGACGCTGCCTCCACGTGACCCGGGTTCACTGGTCTTTCCCTGCTTTATGAGACCGCACGGGACAACGCCATTCTTCTTCCACATACGCGTGACCTGTTGTGCGGGCTGAATTTGAAAATCCAAAGCAGACCTTGGAGTCGTGATCTTTTATTTTCTTCTTTAGGTCTGGATTTATAACGAAGAGCACGAGTTGGTTTTAAATAATCTCCTTTGCCTGGATGTGTCAGAAACTCGCTCGTCAGACCCACCCCGACTCATGAAGTGCCACGGGTCGGGAGGGTCCCAGCAGTGGACCTTTGGGGTGAGGAGGTGGCTTAGTGAGGGTGGGGGGGTGCGAGGAGACAGAAGGGGCTGAGGGAGGGAGCGTGACAGATGGGGTGTCCCCTGCGTAAGTAAACGATCGTGAATGTTTCAGCTCGCTTCTGGATCTCTGGGACTTTGCCCCTTTCTGGCAGTACGTCTCTTGGGTAAAGCAGCTAACTGGTGATGTGTTCTTGCTGCCTTCTTTTCAGAGGAGTAACCGGCTGTACCAGGTGTCGGTTGGACAGTGTCTGAGAGCAGTCGACTCACTGAGTCACAAAGGCTACGTCGCCATGGCGATCTGTGACGGCTCCTCTTCACAGCGGTGGCGTTTGGAAGGTTAAAGTGGCTGCTGTGCCGGAATACGGTAATCATCAGCGTCGGCCTCCTCTGTAAGGCGTGAGGCTTGAGAAGTTGCTGGTACAAGAAAATCCCAGTTAAGTAGAACCATTTTTGAGAAGGTGGGACGGCAGATACACTAGAGACTGGAGCCCAGAGTGGTCATCAAGGGAGTGAGGAAGTTTGTTTGACCAAGACATTAACATCATTTCTGAGCTGCTAAGGAATTTCTTGCTTATGGTGAGAAACTAGAATACAATTTTAACTCTATAAAGGGTCAGGTATGTACAGAAAGACAAACCCAGGAAATTGAACAGAAACGTCAAACTTTTATTTATGCTTCTTTTTAATCCCTTGAATAATGGAATGGCGTTTGATCAGGAACTTGTCATGATTTCCTTTTTTAGAAGGACTTCATAGGAAACAGATTTTTTTTTTTTACTCCTATTATCATGTCTTAAAATAATTTTAAACAGACTGAATCCACATTGCTTTTAACTTCAGAAGGCCTCATTTATAAGATTATATATTTAAGAGGCAGTTAACTGTTATAAATTATTTTGATGAACTATGGTACTATCTACATTTAAAATAAAGGGTTCTTTTGATGATTTACCTGGGACTTGTCTGCTCTTCTTGGGTTGGGGTCTCTGGTCCATGTGGTGCTGTGTACGTGTCACACGGTGAGCAGGATAGCTGGTTCGGCTGATGAACCAATAAGCAAGGTCGCAGCCCTGACCCCAGGAGTGGCCCCATCCCTTAGCTTGAACTCTGTGAATTTGACGTTGAATGTCTGTGAATTTGGATAGTTTCCATTAAAGCTGCCTATGAATCATCCAGGAAGAGTTGTTAAATAGGCAGTTGGATATAGAGGTCAGGATCCCATAAGGTACATCTTAATTAGAAATACAAATTTAGATTACTGATTCAATTTCTTTGCTGGTAACTGGTCTGCTCAAAATTTCTATTCCTGCCTTTATCCATTTCTTCTGAGTTGTCTAATTTATTGGCCTGTAGGTTCTCATAATGTTACGGTTGTTTGTATTTCTGTGGCGTTGGTGGTGGTTTCTCCTCTTTCATTAGTAAATTTCTTTATTTGGGTCCTCTTTTTATGAATCTGGCTAGAGGTTTATCAATTTTATTGATCTTGAAGAACCAGCTCATGGTTTCACTGAGCTGTTTTATTTCTGCTCTAATCTTATTCCCTTCCTTTTGCTGGGTTTGGGGTTTTTTTTTTATTCTTTTTCTGGCTTCTTTAGGTGTACGTTGAGGTTGTTTGAGATTTTTCTTGCTTCTTGAGATAGGCCTGTATTGGTATAACTTCCCTCTAAGCTTTTGCCGCATCTCGAAGATTTTGGACTGTCGTGTTATCATGTTCATTTGTTTGCATGTAATTTTTTATCTTTTTTGATTTCTTGGTTGACCCCGTTCATTGTTATGTAGCCTCCATGAAATTGAATCAGTAATCAAAAAATGCCGAAGAAACAAAAGTTTAGGATCAGATGGCTTCACAGGTAAATCGTATAAAACAAACATTTAAAGAGTAAACACCTATTCTTCTCAAATTATTCCAAAAAATAGAGGAAGGAAAACCATCCTATTCATTCTATGAAGTATCACGCTGATACCAAAATCAGATAAAGACACCACAAAAGAGAGAACTGTAGGCCAAGATCTCTGATCAACATGGATGCAAAGTTCCTCAACCAAATATCAGCAAACCGAATCCAATGATACATTAAAAAACCCTACACCATGATCAAGTGGGATTTATTCCCAGGATGCAAGGAGGGTTCAATATTCGCAAAACCATCAGTGTGATACATCACATCAATAAGAGGATTAAAACCATATGTTCAATAGATGCAGAAAAAGCACCAAAGTAAAACATCCATTCGTGATAAAAACCCTGTGCAGAGTAGGTCTAGAGGGAACATACATCAATGTAATAAAGACATATGTGGAAAAACCCACAGCCAGTATCAAGACAAGGATGTTCACTCTTGACCACTTTTATTCCCTATAGTACTGGAAATCCTAGCCACAGTAATTAGACAACATAAAAGGCATCCAAATTGATAAGTAAAACTACAGATGATATGATACGCTACGTAGAAAACCCAAAAGACTCCACCACAAAACTACTAGAACTGTTCAGTGAAGTCAGTAAAGTTACAGGATACAAAAGCAAACTACAAAAATTGGTTGCATTCCTATACACTAATAATGAAACAGAAAGAAATTAACAAATCCCATTTACAATTGCACCGCCCCCAAAAGACATCTAGAAATAAACATAACCAAAGAGGTGAAAGACTTGCACTCTGAAAACTACAAAACACTGAAAGAAATTCAAGATGACCAAATGTCTATACTACATAAAGCAATCTACAAATTGAACACAATCCCTATCAAAATACCAACAGCATTTTTCGCAGAGCTAGAACAAACAATCCTAAAATTTGTATGGATCCATAAAAGACTTCAAATAGCCAAAGCATCTTGAAAAAGAAAAACAAAAAGATACCACAGTTCCAGATTTCAAGTTCTATACAAAGTGCAAGTAATTAAAATAGTACGGTACTGGCATAAAAAGAGACACAGAGCAGTGGAATAGAATTAAAAAAAAAAAAAAAATCAATCTACAATTATATGGTCAATCTTTGACAAAGGAGGAATATAGACAGTCTCTTTCACAAGTGGTGTTGGGAAAACTGGACAGCTACAGGCAAAACAATGAAAGTGGACCACTCTCTTACACCACACACAAATAAGTCAAAATGGATTAAAGACCTAATTGTGAGAATTGAAACTATAAAAATCCTTGAAGAGACCACAGACAGTAATTTCTCTGACATTGGCCGTAGCAATATTCTTCTAGATAGGTTTCCTGAGGCAAGGGAAATAAAAGTAAAAATATTGAGAGTACATCAAAATAAAAGTCTTCAGCATAGCAAAAGAAACAAAAGGCAACCTACTGAATGGAGAAGGTATTTACAAATGTCATATCCAATAAAGGGTCAGTATCCAAGATGATACAACTCAACATCCATAAAACAATCGAATTAGAAATGAGGCATGAACAGACATTTTTCTAAAGAAGACATCCAAATGTCCAACAGACACATGAAAAGATGCTCAACATCACTCATCGGAGAAATGCAAACCAAAACCACAATGAGATATCACCTCACACCTGACATAATGGCTAATCCAAAAACATAAGAAACAAGTGTTGGCCAGGGTGTGGGAAAAGCACTCGTGTGCTGTTGGTGGGAATGCAAGTTGGTGCAGCCACTGTGGAAAACAGTACGGAGGGTCCTCAGAAAATTAAACATAATCGCACTACTAGGTATTTACGCCAAAATACAAAAAGCACTAATTTGAAGGGACACACACATCCCTAAGTTTATTGCAGCATTATTCACAATAGCCAAATTATGAAAGTAGCCCAGGTGTCCACTGATAAATGAAGATGTGATGTGTTTGTGTATATGTCTACATGTACACATACATATACATACAGACACACACACATGGAATATTCAGACATCAAAAAGAATGAAATCTTGCCATTTGCAACAACGTGGATGGAGCTAGAGAATACAATGCTAAGTGCAATTGGTCAGAGAAAGACAAATACCATAGATCTCATTCACGTGGAATGTAAGAAACAAATGAGCAAAGGAAAAAGACAAATGAAACACTTTTTTAATTAAAAAAAATTTTACTTTACAGAGAGTGCAAGTTGAGGTAGAGGGGCAGAAGGAGAGAGAGAATCTTAAGCAGACTCCACACTTAGCACAGAGCCCGATGCAGGGCTCAATCCCACAACCCTGGGATCGTGACCTGAGCTGAAATCAAGAGCTGGACATTCAACCTACTGAGCCACCCAGGCACCCCAAAGCACTCTTAATGTAGAGAACACACTGGTGGTTACCAGAGGGGAGGTGAATGGGGCGTGGCTGAAACAGGTGATGAGGATTACAGAGCACACTTACCATGATGAAAAAAATACAAATTTAGGAAGCATCTTTGCATACTGTAGATGTCCACCTATAAAGGGAGGGTTTTTTTCACCAAAATTACATCTTAGAGGAGACACAGTCTTATAGGGTACTTTCTCGGTCCTTTTTTAAAATCTTAAACAACAAAGCACCATATTAGAAACATGTTGGAGAATAATATATCCTATTTCTATATTTTATCTTTTGTCATTCAACTTCAAAGACCAGATGGTACATACAGGAAGCAGCAAGATAGTAGATTAAACTGTATGCTGCCCACAAGAAACTCATTCTAAATATGAAGACAAATGTCAAGTACATGCATGTGGGACACTAATTGAAAGACATCTGACGTAGCTGTATTAATATTACACGAAGCAGGTTTTGGAGCAAAGCACATTACTAGGCGTAGAGTCATTTCATAGTAATAAAGGGGTCAATTCGTTAAGAGGGAATGATAATAATAACAACTTCAAAGTACATGCCACAGAAACTGATATAACTGCCAGGAGAGACCTAATTACAACTAGTAAGATTTCAACACACCCCCAATAATTGATGAAATAAGTAGACATAAAGAATCAGTGGGATATAGAAACCTTGATGATACTGTCCACCAACTGGATATAATTAACAGGGAACATACTACCTGACAAGACCAGACAGAATATGCCTTCTTTTCAAGTACACATGAAATATCTACCGAGATAGGTCATGTTCTGGGATATTAAGTCTCAATAAATTAATACAAATTCAACTTGTACAAAGTATAAAGGTGTAAATTCAATGACTTAAGCTTCCACTTTAGGAAAATAAAAAAAGAAAAGGAAATTAGAGGAGCAAAGAAATAGAAGAAATATTAAATGTCAGAACAGAAATGAATGTAATAGAAAAAAATGGGGGAAAAAAGTCGGATTATGAACATCATTGAAATGAAACAAATGGAAAGATACTCCATGCTCATGGATTAGAATGTTGTTAAAATGTCCATACTACTCAAAGCAATTTACAGATTCATTGCAATCCTTAGCAAAATACTAGCACTTTTCACAAAACTAAAACAAATACTAAAATTTGTATGGAGGCACAAAAGACTCCAAATAGCTAAAGCAATTTTGAGGAAGAACAACGCTGAAGGTATCACAATCCCAGATTTCAAGATACACTGCAAAGCCAGTTATCAAAACAGTGTAGTTGTGGCACAAAAAGGACATAGAGATCAACAGAACAGAATAGAGCCCATAAATAAACCCAGGCTTCTATGGTCAATTAATATACAGCAAAGACAATATACAATGGGGAGAAGATGGTCTCTTCAAATAAATGCTACTGGGAAAACTGGACAGCCATGTGAAAAAGAATGAAACACTTCTTATACCATATATAAAAATCAACTCAAAATGGATTAAAGACCTAAATGGGAGACCTAAAGCCATAAAACTCCTAGAAGAAAACCCAGGCAGTAATCTCTTGGACATCAACCCTAGCAACATATTTACAGATGTCTCCTGAGTCAAGAGAAACCAAACCAAAATAAACAACTGGGACTATACCAAATTAAAAAGTTTCTGCACAGCGAAGGAAACCGATAAACCTACTGAAAGGCAG